TTGAAAACATTGGGCAAATATGTTGTCGATTGGAAGCAAAAAAACGACTTTTTAAAATTTTTGTTAATTTAAACCAGTGAGCAGCACCAACCTCACTAATAGCGGAGCTCTCTCGCGCGCGAAGCACCATGGGTAAGAAAATTTCGTTGTCGTTTCCGAGAAATTTTGGTTGTCACGTGACCGTACGTCCACCCGACCGCCCGTCCGTCCGCAGCACAGACACACCAATGTAAATCGAGTATTTCTCGACGTTATTTTTTATGTTTACACTCACGTTGATAACATAGAAAGAGCTAGAGCGAGTGATTGAAAACAAAGGGGACGAATTTCCTTGGAAGAGAAACATGAAAATTTCATAACAACGGTGAGAAAATAAGAAATTACAGCGGCCAGCGAGGAGAAAATGAGCGGTATGGAAAAAATAAAAGCGAACAGGAACACAAGCAACAAAATTTTTGGTGAGCACATACGACAATTCCTCCATAAAAATAATGAGTAACTAGGAAGTTTCACGTTTTAGTCGTCATTGTAGTCGTGCAAAACAACGGCAAAGAAATGTACAAAAAAGTGTGCTGTACGTGCAAATTTGTTTTTTGGCTACTTGCCAACGAGGCAACCGAGCCAATAAGACCCCATATTTGGGCAGTGACGTCATGGTATTTACTACTTGTGGTCCGAAATTGGGTGATCCAGTGTGCAGCTGTTCGTTGTCTGTTGAAGAGGACCTAACAGGTGAGCAAGCTTTAATACGATTTCTAGTTTGAAAGTGTTATCATTAATTAGTGCTCTGGTTTGCTTTATAAATTGCATTTAAAGCAGAAGGTGATCAAGGAATAGGGTTTTACGCTCAAATTTTTGTCAGAACCAGCTTGTTCTTCGCAGCTCGATTTACATTGAGGTAGCGTGTTCGCTTCTCGACTCAGAACCAGAGTTTTCAGTGTTCTCTTTTCTTTGTAAATTGACTCTTAAGCGGTAGCTAATCAAGGAATAGGGTTATATTCTTAAAACTTTTATCAGAACCTGAGTGTTCTTCGCAGTTCGATTTACATAGAGACAGTCCTCACCTTCCGTGTGGAATGCGACGCATTTGCGAACCTTTTGTTTTGAAGACTATCATTTTATTGCATTTTATTTAAGTTTATATTTTTATGCCTCTGATACATTCCGCCCCATTCTTTCTCTTTTAACACATTTTGCTTTACACCAATTTTTTCATATGTATATTACAATGCGAAATATTTTTGTTATCCCTGATGATGATGCTGATCGGCGGAAGCTCGGAAATTTAATTTTTATTTTTAATTTCAGCAGTCAAAGCCCTCTGTTGAACTATATTATATTTTCTAACGTTTATAGTTGTGATACAATGGAATTTTCCATGATACGTATCTGCTAACTTGCTCCAATTTACCAACAAAGCCTCAAGCCATATTGTTATTGTTTAATAAAAGAGAAAGCCTAGGACGTGCTAAAGTTGTTGTTTCAAAGCTGGGTGCCATCCTTTTCTATAGCGGAATCTATTTTAAACCTCTAAAATTATCTAAGAAATCGCGAAGATCTGAATAGGCACATTCCACAAAAGATAAAAGAATTCGCCTCGTTGGCACTTGCCGGAAGGTACCCCTAGTTAGATCTATTAATTTTGATGCCATTCTCATTGCTGTCTCCGTTTACCATTACACGATTTTCCTTTTTTTGTTTATAAGTATATTAACCATTGCTTTGCTTTAAGCCCTGGCTAAGTCTATCTAGCCACCTCCACTTCGGTGAATAATTGTTGTATATTACGTCATTGACAAGTCATTGATGCCACGCGATGTGTTACACTATAGCTGTACACAACCGATACGTTATCCACTCATTGCTGCTTACACACACCGGTTTGGTATACGCTAATATATAGATTAAGCCAGGGCTAAAAGCGAAGCTCTCGATAATATTTATAGTTTGCTCAAACAAAATATAAAATCGTGTTATGCTATGCGGCGACGGCAACGAGAACGGTGAAAAGACAACAATAGGTCTAATTAGCAAAAGGCAACTTTGCATGTGCAGCACACGTTTTTTGTATATTTCCTTGCCGTTGTTTTGCACGACTACTCCGTGAAACTTCTGGAAAGTTCCATAAACTTCCTAGTAACACGTTTTATGGGGAAACTTTCGTACGCGTTCTTTTTCACTTTTTTTCCACTGCCGCTCATTTTCACCTTGGTGGCCGCTAGCATTTCTCATTTTCTCACTACCGCTACAAAATTTAATGTTGTTCTCCCAACAAAAAATCTCCCCTTTGTTTTTTATCTCTCGCTCTAGCTCTCTTCTCTCTTTTTTTTTTCTCGTTGAGCTTCGCTAGCATGTCACCTGCTTTCTTTTTTCTCTGTCTTTCTCTTTCTAAATTTGTGGACATGACAATTAATCTAAGTTTAGTACTTTAGACAACACGGATACAGAAACAATTTCCACTTTCTGTTTTCGTCTTTATTGACTCTTGAGTTGTCTCTGCTTTACAAGACCCAGGTGGCTATACGATTCCCGCCAAAATAACCTCGAGTTGCATTTAGGTTGCTATACCTGTTTAGTATATACTAAAACAGTGGATAGTGTTTTTTCGGGCGCTCTGATTGGCTACTCAATCAGTGAATATCCTGCACTATTCACTGATTCACCTCTACTTCCTCCGAGCGAGCGACGCCAAACTCGCGTAGGTTGCGAGCAAAATGCCTTCCCGGTTTGCTGCCGTAACAAACTAAGAAATTTCACAACTAATCAAGCAAGCTATTTCCGGAAATACGCGAAGAAGGTGACGAAGTTCGGTTTGGAAGTTTTAACAGGTAAAGCTTTGTCTTTTTGACTTGAATAGTTATCGGTAAAACCGGTGCAAAATTAAAGTTTTTTGTTTACAAATGCAAATTAAGCTCAAGTCTTGCGTTACTTTATTTAGTTGACTTGTTCATAAATAAACTTAAAACTAAATTTAATAATCTTTTTTACAGAATTCACAACTCCTTTAGAAGAAACTTCCCCGCAAGAGCTAAACAAAAGCCTTCAAAAGTTTTATTTGTCGCTAAGAAAAAGCGACGACCGCGGCCGTTCGGTCATCGCGCGCCAAAATTGTAATCGTTGGCAACAGTAAATGAGTTAAAAATCATCATTTTGTGCTTAATTATCTCACTGTTTTAGTATATACTAAAACAATTATTCACCTCAGTGTCGGTGGGTAGTATTGGATATTTACCGAGGCCCCGAAGCGGCGAGGTAAATATCCAATACTAGCCACCTCCACTTCGGTGAATAATTGTTATTTATTGAGTTATTTTACATTGGTATGCCTGTGGCGCGGACGGACGGGCGGACGTACGGTCATGTGATTACCAGAAGTTCCGGGATAGGTAGATTACCACATTTTCTTAGGTATGGGGCTACGCTCGCTCGCGCGCCCGAGCGTGGGGATCCGCTAAAACGGTGGATAGTAGTTATGGCGTGCTCTGATTAGCTACTCAACCTCCGGATATTCACTGATTCACCTCCAGCTCCGCCGAGTGAGCCACGCCGCGGCAGTTACAAGCAAAATGGCTTCTCAGTTTGCCGCCATAACAAACAAAGAAATTTCACAAATAATCAAAGGAGCTGTTCCCGAGACGCACGAAGATGGTGAGGAAATTCGGTTTGGAAGTTTTAACAGGTAAAGCTTTGTCTGTTTGACTTAAATTTATGCAAGAAACCGTTGAAAAAGTTTTTTGTTTACAAATGCCTGAAGCTTAAATCTTGCGCTACTTTATTTAGCTGACATGTTCATAAATAAGCTTAAAACTAAATTTAATAGTTTTTTTACAGAATGGTTTTAAATACAAAGAGAATTCACAACTCCTTTTGAAGAAATTTCCCCGAAAGAGCTAAGCAAATTCCTTGCCTCTCTATGAAGCTTTCTTGTGGCTGTGAATGGCGGCACATGATAGCCGTGGCGATGAACATAACAACAAAACGTTTAATCATACACGAGGCTGAATCAACTCACAAGTATCATCACAAACATCCGTTAGAAATCCGTAGCTCGAGAAAGAAAACTGAAACAAACGACTTACAAAACACTTGGGAAACTTGAAGAAAACCTTAGTGAAACATCAGGTTATTTCACGGTGGCCTCGTGCCCGCCAATGCCGAGGCCCCGTGCGCATGCTCCTAATAAACAAGGGGGTAAGCCCGCTGGTCAGGATACCAGCAGTTACATTGTTTTATTTATATTTATTTACCTTACCGATACGTGGAGTTTCTAAGCTTAAAAGTTAAATACCGTAAAGTTCCCATAGTAGCGACCTCCCGGAAGTAACGTCAAAAGTTTCTTACTTCTAATAACTCCTGAAACATAGCGAGTCCCCGAAATTGGCAACCCCCCCCCTCCCCCCAAAGTAGCGAGTCCCCAAAAAGTATCGAGACTAAAATTGTAAATTATTAATGTACCGAATCTTGTGCCTTTAATGCTTCCTAATTGTAATCCATGGTCAAATATTTAATGTGCAATACTGATATCTTCGTGCATTTACAAATTTATCATGATAAGGCAATTTACAACAAGGAAAACATGGCATGCCTGAAACTATCATTCGTCGTTGACGTCAGTTCACAGATTACACATGTAAAAACTACACTGATATAAAGTTCATATCGAGAACAGGAACGTTTCTCCAAGTTGAAACTGAAACTTCTGTGTACTGCACAATAACAGGAGCCCATCACACGGAGGGCTCCTAACTATAAAACGCATTTTTTTATCATGGACTTAAAGCACTGAGTTTAGCTTTCCTCGCCTCTGAATCAGAGAAGAATTCGATTTTCTCTACATCGACTGATTCAACCATTCGGTTGTCCGGTAGACCATCGATGTTGATTTTGGTTTTTGGTCCCCAAAAATAACGACCCCCCGAGAGCAACCACACCCCGAAAGTAACGAGCCCCAAAGGCTGCTCATTCCGTAACGAGGGTCGCTACTATGGTAACTCTGCGTTTTAAGTGTACAATGGGTGATAAAGAACAAGATTTTCTTTTATCTCATTCATATTTTCAATGGATGAAAAGCGCAGCTCGCGACTTAACACCATGAGGTCACTGTAGTACGCATGTGTTGTGGTTCTGCTATCTCTCTTTAAGCCAATGTCGTACACTGAATGGCCTGAATTCCTAAAGTCCATTGAGTCGCCCGGGACATTCACACTCTTTTTCATCTCTCCGTTTATGAAAAGCCTCAGGGTACCTTGGGTGGCTTTTATACGTCCCCATGTCATTGCCACGTGACTCCACTGATTAACTAAGAGAGCATTGCTGCAAAATATTAATAGCGAGGTGATTGTGATGTAATGGGTGGCATTAACTTTGTAAGCTTATTTTCCTCGATTTATTTGACTTTGAAGGACTTTTAATTTAAATGTAATTAAAATTACATTTGAATTAATTCCGAGTAGCGGATCCAAGATAGCCAACTTTTCAACGAAAAATCATTTCAACCAAATATCTGGCATTTCTGAAATATCAAAGTAACATACTGCTGTTTACATTACTTGATTGAAATATTGAAATAAAGTGAGCGAACCCAATACGTACGTACTATAATCAATCAGGTTTCGTTGACGTCAAATTACGTCACGATATCAAAAGTTACAATACAATTTTTGGAGGAAGCTCCCGATCCGAAATGAAAAATTTTACAAACCGGGGAGGCTTGATCTGCGAGACACTGACAAGTCACGGTATTTTGAAATAACCGAGTTCAATAATCGTTTTATCATTCGGTCACTGAGTTTGTTTTTAATGAATATCTATTATTTTGCCATTTTTACGCAAAAGCGCTCGCAAGAAGGAGAAAAGCGCGCTTTCATTTACGCATGAGCAGAATATTATTTGCAGCCAAACACAGTTGGACGACATTGCGCATGAGCAGACCATTATTTGTAGACCGTTATTTGCAGGTCACGTGGTAAGCGATCCGCCGATGAAAAGGAAGAAAAATTTGCATTGAATGATAAAATCAGTTATTAAATACTCAATGATTTACTCTATGATCACCCATCGATGTCCGCTTGAAGCTATTGACCATTGATTAGTCATCTGCCTTCAGATATATTTCGAATAAGAACAGTGTATGCCGCTCCGGAGTCACGCCAACCAGATGGATGTTATGACCATACCGAAATTCCAAAAGAAACAAAAATTAATGAAAATATAGTGGATATTAAAAAGGCCAAGCGAAGATACTAAACTTCTCTTTGAGTGTTAAGAAATGTTCACGCGAAAGCACGGTATTATGTGTAAAATATGTATCATAAATTTAAACTCGTCAA